ATTGTTTATATTGGAAGGAAGCTTGGTGTGTTACTAACTGGTAGTTTTCTTTCACATGAAGAAATGTCAAACATGAGGTATTTTGTCTCTTAGTAACATCTAAGTCATTTGAAAGAAATTCTAATACCAATTTCAGGTACCCAGAACAAAGTCTAAATGACTGACTTTGGAGTTCTTAAGTTGCTGTCTTATTAGAATTGTCAACAGTGTACAGTTAATTCTTGAAGAAAAGGCAAGACTTTTCAATTTATTCACATGAAGAAATGTCAAACATGAGGTATTTTGTCTCTTAGTAACATCTAAGTCATTTGAAAGAAATTCTAATACCAATTTCAGGTACCCAGAACAAAGTCTAAATGACTGACTTTGGAGTTCTTAAGTTGCTGTCTTATTAGAATTGTCAACAGTGTACAGTTAATTCTTGAAGAAAAGGCAAGACTTTTCAATTTATAGCTGTGGGAGCTGGAGAGATGGCTCAGTGGTTAAGGGCACTTGCTGTGCAGTCATGAGGACTAGAGGTCAGATCCCAGCACCCACAGAACAAGCCAGGTATTCCACCTATAAGTCCAGCTCTGAGAGATTTAACACCCTCTTCTGTCCTGTGCTACATACGCAGGCACACATTCACGCAGATTCATGCAGATACACACACACACACAAAATTAAAAACAATTAGAGTTATATTTCAAACTTTTGTTGTATTATAGTGTGCTGAGTATGACAAGACTGAATAAACTCTACTAATTCATTTCTCTTGTGTTTTAGATTCTTTCAATGACTTATATAGTTCCCATGTAATCTTTTACCTCCTGCTCCTGTCAGTGGTAATTATAATAATAAGTATTTTCAATGTGGAATTCTATACAGGTAAGTTTCCAAATTTTAACCTTTTTAAAAAATTTGAGTACCAAGTGTGGTGGGTGGCATATGCTAGCTAGCATTTGGGAGGCTGAGGTAGGAGGAACACCACAAATTCAAGGCCAGCTAGGGCTGTGTAGTGCTTTTGAGGTTAGCTTAGGTTACATAGCTGGACCCTGTCTCAACAAAACAAGCAAATTTTAAATTGTCAGAATTTTAAAATGTATGCAGTCATACTCTGTTAGACATTCAGTTGTTCTGCTTGACAGGTCATTTTGGTGGTAGTTTCTCTGCTGGGGAGACATTTAGACCTTTCATGACAAATGTTGTATGAGACTGCTTATATGACCCTGAGAGTATACAGTAGTCAAGTTCATACAGACAGAAAGTGGAATGGTGGCTCCAGGGGCTACAGGAGGAAAGGAGTTGCTTGTTGGATAAGGTTTCAGTTGGGAAGATGGAAAGTTTCAGGAGATGGTAGTAATAGCTGCATAGCAGGATGAGTAGACTCCTGTCTCATTTCGAAATGGTTCAGATGGTAAAGCGAAAAAAGTAAGTTTAAGCCTTTTAGTAGTTCATAGCTAGTGTTAAAGCTGTGATTAGCAAATGAATTATGAAATAGGGTAGGAGATCAAGACTGGGCTGACTTCAAATTTACAGTCTTCCTGCCTTAGCCTTCTGAGTGCTGGGATTGCAGGCATGTGTCACTACTGGCTTTGTAAGGTTTTCTCCAAATATAAAGCCTATTGTTTTATACTTTTTTTTTTTTGGTCTTTTTGAGACAGGGTCTCCCTGTAGCCCTAGCTGGCCTGGATTCACTATGGAGACCAGGCTGGCCTTGAACTCACAGAGATCCGCCTGCCTCTGCCTCCCGAGTGCTGGGATTAAAGGCGTGTGCCACCATGCCCGGCTGGTTTTATTATTTTTAAAAAATTTATTTTAATTTTATGTCTATGAGTATATTGCTTGCATGTATACAAGTGCACCTGTGTCGTGCAGTTTCCACAGAGGACAAAAGAGAGCGTTGGATTCCCTGGAACTGGAGTTCTTAGCTGCTATGTGGGTGCTGGGATTTGAACCCAGGTCTTCTGAAGAGCAGCCAGTGCTTTTAACTGCTGAGCCACCTCTCCAGCCTGGTTTTAGAATTTTTACTTTTTTTTTTTTTTTTTTTTTTTGGTTTTTTTGAGACAGGGTCTCCCTGTAACCCCAGCTGTCCTGGAACTCACTATGTAGACCAGGCTGGCCTTGAACTCACAGAGATCCACCTGCCTCTGCCTCCTGAGTGCTGGGATTAAAGGCGTGCGCCACCATGCCTGGCACAATTTTTACTATTTTTTTTTAATATTGGGCTTTGCCTTGGGAGAATCCTCAATTTCAGAGTTTATTTTTCTCTGTTTATTTCCTACCCTTCCTGACCCTTCAGATTCCTGAGTTTTTCACTTAAGACAAGTTTTTTTTCTGATACTTTTTTTACTTTTTTTTGGATATGAGTGTTTTGCCTGCATATATGTAAGTGCACCACATGTGTGCAATGCCCTGTACAGGTCAGAAGAGTGTGTTGGATCCCCTGGAACTGGAGTTTATGGACAGTTGTTAGCCACCACATGGGTGCTTGGAATTGAACTCAGGTCCTCTGGAAGATCAAGCGTTCTTAACTGCTGAGCCATCTTTCCATCTCTCCATCTCCTGAGCTCTATAGTTTAAAAAACAAGACGTAAAGTTTTAAATTCTCACCAGGCATTGTGATACACCTGTTCTTTGCTTGCCTAATGCTTTATTACTGGCTAGAGGGTTTCTTGCTTTATTCAAACCTCCTTGGTTTAAGGTGTGTGCTTTGACTCTTCTGTGCTTCCGGGCCATCTTCTATATGTAGATAGACTAGTTGAGGGTGCTCTAGCTAGTTATTCTTAAAGCCTGGTCAATCACTTTGACTCATTCCTGCAGTGAGTAGTTTTTATGTATTTACTGTGTGCCATGCAGTATGTGGTCCCATCTTTCTCCAGAGGATCTGTGAAGTATTTTTGCTTACAGTGTCCTGGGTCCTTAAAAATACTTATACAGGGGCCAGTATGATGGCTCAGTGGTTCAAGGTACTTGCCTCCAAGCCTGACAACCTGAGTTTGAGCCCTGGAATCTACATGGTGTTAGGAGAGAACTTGCTCCTCTAACCTCTACATGTGCTGCCTCACACCAAATAAATAAATGTATACAGGGCTGGGTGTGGTGGCACACACATCTGTAATCCCTGTACAAGCATTTATTTTAGTATTCAATATTGCTGTTTTTGTCTTCTTTTTCATGGATGGATTATAAAATGACAGTTTTAAATGCTGAAATAAAGATAACTTGGAACTATTTTCCAGAATTTTTTGTTTATTCTTTCATGGCACTTAGACACTTAGAAAGTGTCAGAGTTGGCATTTTATCAACTATCAAGAAATTTAAACAACATTTTTTTTTGGATTTACTTATTTTATGTATATGAGTGTTTTGCCTGCATGTATATAGTGTACCACATGCATACAGTGCCTGTGGAAGTTAGAAGAGGGTAACAGATCCCCTGGAACAAGTTACAGATGGCTGTTAGTTGCCATGTAGGTGCTGGGAACAGAACCCAAGTCATCTGGGTTTAACTGCTGAGCCATCTCAGCCTTAGGAATTTTGAAGATGAAAGGGCCAGGTGTGCTGACACATGTCTGTAATCAGGAGACAGAGGCAGGAGGGCACTAGTAGTTCAAGGCCATTCTTTGTATATAGTGAGTTTGAGGCCATCCTGGCCAACATGAGACTGTCTCAAAAACTAAAAGAAGTGGGGCAGGGTCTTGGGGAGGGACAGAGAATATGTTAATTATGTCCATCAGAGATTTCATCTCTGGATTCTTTGGTTTTTCTTATATGTCTGTCTCTTTTTATTAATTTCTAAAGTTTGTTTTTTTTTTAAGTTAGGGTTATTAACTTAAGAGTTTTCTGCACTGTATTTTACATTGGTTGGGCTTCTCTGCCATCTGGTGGGTTTGTTTGTGGGTGATGAAGCGTGGCTCCTCCGACTTCACATGCTGCAGTCATAAAGTTACGGTGCTATGCTTTCTTTGCAGTTGTGCCCTCCATACCTGGCTCCAGACTGGCTCTGATAGGGAGGCTCCTTCACCCTCAGCAGCTCATGCATTCATTTGTGCATGCTGCCATGGGAATGGTGATGGCCTGGTGTGCAGCAGTCCTCACCAAGGGCCAGTACAGTTTTCTCGTGGCTCCCTGCACTGGAACTGAGAGGTAATAGTGTATGTGTTTTTTCTTTCTAGGAACTTGGTTTAGTTGCTAAGTCAAAGGTTACCTATGGAGATTAGTAATACATCATCATTCTTTGCTTTCCAGACTTTTACAAAAGGTTCTTGTTTCTCTATGTTCTGTATGTCTTGCTTCTATATGTCTGTTTGATGAGTTTAGCAAAATTTTAAAGGCATTGTATGTGGAAGGTGCTGTGTATGTGCTTTTAGGTTTCTGAGAGTGATTCAGGTGTTAGCTGTAAGCTGCTTGGGAGTTCAGAACAATAGGGAAATTGGGACATGAGTGCAGATGGGTGTCATGGGAAGAAGGAAGCAATATCCATATCTGATAGGTGTGGGACTCTCTGGCTTAAAGGCCTGTGCCCCTCACATCTGGTATCTTTTTTAGGCACTTAAAGTCATAGCATTCAGAGTCCCAGAGAGGGGTGCCTAGTTAGGAGAGACAACACAGAGAAGCCCAAAGTCCTGGTACCTCTATTAGGTATACACAAGTTATTTATAGTTTCTTGTGGTCCAGGTGCAGTCAGCCCAGTTTGGAAGCAACATGACTTACTACTGTTTGTACACATTTCCAAGGAAACAGAGCTGGAGTCAGATTCTCATGCATCAGGGGAAAAACAGTTTTGTTAGTCTTTTGCTCATGCAAAATCATTTTGTTAGAATTTGAGACCTTTCTTAAGTGATTAACTTAGAATTTTGTCTTTGGTAAATATTGAGCCTGAAAACAGTGATAATGTGTTCTTGACTTTTGAATTAATGCTTAACTTTCCCCCTTCAGCTTAGATAGCCCTGCTGCACAGACCTGCTTGAATGAATATCATCTTTTTTTCCTACTGGCTGGAGCATTCATAGGCTATAGCTATAGCCTCCTATATTTTGTTAACAACATGAACTATCTTCCATTTCCCATCATACAGGTAAGATATCATTTGAGCATTACCTTAGGTCATAATTTGGCAGCATTAACATTGCCTTATTATACATAAGACCAACCTCATCTAGTTAGTTCAAGATTTCATCAATAAAATTTAGGACTAGGACTGCGGAGATTGCTTAGAAGGGTAAAAGTGCTTATTATGCAAGCCTGACAACTGAGTTCAGATCTCACGTTAGGGCTCAGTAGTACAAGTATCTGTAATCCCAGCTCACCTACAGGAAGTTAGAGGTGGAGACAGAAGAATCCCCAGAAGCTCATGGGCCAGCCAGCCTGGAATATGCACAGTTGACCCTGTGTCAAACAAGGTGGAAAGCTGGGCAGACACTGAAGCTTGTCTTCTGGCCTCCACACTAGCATCTTGGCAGGAATGTGGCCACCCCCCCAACCCCCACTCCCCATCATACACACACACAGAGAAACACTAAAACAACAAAGCCTAGCCTTTAAGACTTAAATCTTGAAAAGGCCATTTAAATCTTTAAAAAAAATTTTTTTTGCTTATTTTTATTTTACGTTTGAGTGTTTTGCCTGTGTGTATTTAAATGCATACAATGCCTTTGGAGACCAGAAGAGAGAGCCCTCACCTGGAGCTGTAGTTATGGACAGCTCCCCTTAAAATGGCCATCTGGAGGGGCTAGAGAGATGGCTCAGTGGCTAAGAGCACCAGCTGTTCTTGCAGAAGACCTGGGTTCAAATCCTAGCACCCACATGACGGCTAACAACCATTCATAACTCCAGTTCCAGGGGAACTGACGCCCTCTTCTGGCTTCCAAGGGCATTGTACAGCATGGGTGCACTTCCATACATACAGGCAATACATGTATACACATAAAATAAAAATAAAGCAAAAAAAAGGCTATTTAGAAAGATTTGTCTTCATGAGACTTCAGTATGTTTTTGAGAGGCGGAGCTATCCTTCCCTGCTCTACTCTCAGAACACTGTTTCCCTCTTTTCTTCCCTGTTAGGTGGTAGCACTTTCTATGACATAGCAGGGCTCGGGGAGGAGGATGACAACATTCATATGAAGTGCTTGGTGTAGCCACCAGCTTGTGGGGATGCAAGAAATTATAGAACATGTTAGTTCCTGTCTCAAACCCTTTCAGAACATGGCATGGAGTGCATAAATAAAGAATTCTCACCTGGTTTGAGTGGAATCACGAAAACTGTTTCAGTTAGATTTTATGTGCACACGTGTATGTGCATGTGTACTTGGGAAAGCCAGGGTTGATGTTGCGTATCTTTCTCAGTTGCTTTCCACCTTATGTTTTGAGACAGAAGCTCACCAATTTGCTAAGACTAGCTGGTCAGCAAGCTCCAGGGAACCTCTGTCTCTGTCTCCCTAGTGCTAGGATATCAGGCATGCACTACCACTCCTGGCTTTTTACATGGATGTTGGGGATCTGAACAAGCACTTTACCAACTCACCCATCTTCCCAGCCCCTTCAGTTAGACTTTTAGATGTCTAATCTGGGAATTAGTGAGATGGTTCAGGAGCATTGGAAAACAAACCTGATGACCTGAGTTTTGACCTCCAGATCCCATGGTGGAAACAAAGTTCAGGTGGAAGAAGAGAACCAATTTCTGAAAGTTGTCCTCTGACTTCCAAATGTGCGTTGAGGTACAAGTTCACTTGTAGTTGCACACATGTACCCCACCTCCCAAAATACATTTGAAAACTAAAAAAAGAAAAAACCCAGTCTAGTGGGAGTAAAACCTGGAACTGAATCACTTTGTTTCTGCTGTTTCTTGTTGTGTTTTTATCTACTTTATTCCTGCTCTGGCAGGCTGAGGACTGGATACTGAAACAAAAACTTTGGAACCAGTCCCCTTCCACTGGATCCCAATCTGATGGGGTGGAAGTGAGGTATGAAACGTTGATGTGTCCTGATGAGAATGTAGTCCACCATGGAGCTTTAGGCTTTTCTGGCCTAACTTGTCATGTACCCATTGTGTCTATGTGCATGGGCTGGTGAAAATACATGTCCTTCAAGGAGATCATGTCTCTGTAACGGATCCAACCCTCAGGTCCCCGCGGTTTGTGAATGTATGAAAAAGACCCCCTGCTTAGGAACAATTTACAAGTTTATAAAGAGGAATTAAAAGTAGGATGTCAAGGATGGCAAACTAGCACTTGTGAGGCATAGTCCAGTGGATCTCTGAGTTCTAGGCCAGCCTGGTTTGCATAGTGAGTTCCAGACCAGCTGGGACTGCACAATGAGACTCCATCTCAAAAAAACACCAAAACAAACAAGTAGACAAAAAAGTAGGATGTCTTTTTTTTTTTTTTTTTTTTTTTTTGGGGGGTCTTTTTGAGACAGGGTCTCCCTGTAGCCCCAGGTGTCCTGGCACTTACTGTGTAGACCAGGCTGGCCTCTGCCTTGCAAGGGCTAGGATTAAAGGCATGTGCCACCATGCCCAGCCACAAGGAAGAGTCCATACAGAAATTCCCTATGGCATGTGAACTTAGATCTAACATAATAAATAGAATGAGAAAAGAGAAAGAGACAAATGAGACTCTGAGTACTTTGTTGTACCTCCTGGAACCAGATGCATAGTGAACATGGGAACTGTCCACGAGTTAACAGTGCTGATAAATGATTGTTTCTACCTTGTAGTACCAAATTTTAGCACTTTTTTCTTTTTGAGAATCCCGAAAGTTTATTCTACAATGATAAGCTTTCATTTCAGGTTTAGCTTCGGCAGAATATTTTTGCTTGGTTGTTGTTTTTTTTTTGTTTTTTTTTTTTAAGGCAGAGAATTACAGTGCAACCCAGGCTGGCCTTGAGGACTGGCTCCTGCCTCAGCCTTCCAAGTGCTAGTTACTGGCATGTGCTACATATCTAGCTTAAAATAGTGATTTTAAACACTTGGCCAAAATACATATTTGGGACATCCCTTGCAGCTATGAGTGTGTAGTGGTCAGCCTGGGTGGGTGCTACTCTGCAGATGGTTAGAACAGGGTTTTGTTGGGCATTGAAGGACAGTGGCGTAAGGGAGGTGAGGATTTGGTGATAGAAGTTGAAGTGGTGGGTCTTCTTATCAGTCAGGTTTGTGTCTTTGTTTTCATTGCAGGAAAGGCTTGCCTTCCCAAAAGGCAGAGGGGCAAGAAGCACACCAAAACTTAGCCCTTTCTTGGGCCTTGGAGCACTCTGCATGCACAGTGTGCAATCTTCCCCTGTGCATTTTGAGTTAGTGAGTAAAGCAGGATGAATTGAAACTAGATATGCAAAGACAGTCCCATTCCTTCCCCTCTGAACCTCCATAGGGAGATGTGATGATTATGGCCATGAGCTTTAAATTTTTTAATTTTTGAGACAAGGTCTCTCTATGTAGCTTGGGCTAACCTAGAACCAGCTATGTAGACCAGGGTGACCTTGAGAACATCCTCCTATCTCTGCCTATGAAGTGCTAGATTATAGGTGTACACCACTATCCCCAGCATAGCTATTTTATTTATTTACTTATTTATTATTTTGTATTTATTTTTATCTTTTTTATGTGTATGGGTGTTTTGCCTGCACATATGTAGGTACACCACATATGTGCACTGCCTGCAGAGGGCAAAAGAGGGTGCTGGATCCCTTGGAACGGGAATTACAGACAGTTGTTAGCTGCCATGTGGGTGCTGGGAACTGAACCTGGGTCCTCTGCAAGAACAGCCACTGCTGTCAACCACTGAGCTATCTCTCCAACCCCCTTATTTTTTATTTTAATTTTCTGAGACAGGGTTTCCCTGTTGCCCTAGCTAGCCTGGAACTTGCTACGTAGACCAGGCTGACGGTTTAACAGCCAGATTCACCTGAAAACATTAGACTTTAAATTTTTTTTTTTTTTTTTTTTTTGTCTTTTTGAGACAGGGTCTCTCTGTAGCCCCAGCTGTCCTGGAACTCACTATGTTGACCAGGCTGGCCTTGAACTCAAAGAGATCTGCCTGCCTCTGCCTCCCGAGTGCTGGGATTAAAGGCATGTGCCACCACGCCCCCACTTTAAAATTTTTAAAAAATATTTATTACAATTATTTATTGTGTGTAGTATGTGTATATGTGTTTGTGGGGGGTGGTCAGAGGACACTTTGTGGGTATCGGTTCTCTCCTTCTACCACATGAGTTCAGGAGATTGAACTCAGGCCATCAGACTTGGCAGCAAGCCCTTATATCTGCTTCGGAGCCATCACAGTTCCC